TTTTTTTTTTTTTTTTTTTTTTCATTTTTAATAAACTTTATTATTATCATTTATTCCACAAAATTAGGGTGAATTTTAGTTTTTATAGTTTGGTCTTATATAATTTTAATAAATTTTACGAATTAGTGTAAATAACACTTTGTTTGCTTAAAAAAAAAAAATCACTTATTTTCTTATAATTTTACATTACCTTAAACTTTAATATATTCCATTAACATATAAACAAAATAAGAGGCATTAATACAAGATACATATTTACCGACTCTAAATTAAAAAAATTTAATTTATGAGAACTAAGTTAAAAAATTCTCAAAAAATCGTGATAAAATTATGATTTAGTCTTTTTTATATTTATCTATAAATTAATTGACCAGGAAGATATTTAATTTTAATTAAGAAAGCAAGTTAAATGAATTTTTAGAGTTTGAAAATATATATATATTTTTTTTAATAATTAAAGTTTAATGTGGTATTTGGAATGATTTTCAATCATGAATATGATTACATAGAATTATTTACAGATTTTTACTTAAAAAAAAATATATTCACTAATTTAAAATGGTAGAAGTGGAAATAAAAGTTACTTTTGGGAGTTCATGCTCATTGTATTTTATGTTATTATCGTTTTGTTAAATGGTAAATATTATTATGTTAAATTGTAAATTTATTAATAGAAATTTATTAGTAAACTATAAATATAAAAATATCTGGTAAATTCTTTAATTTGAATTTAGTATATAATATATTAAAAATAAATATTCATAAACTATTTTTTATATATATAACATTTCAAAAATTTTAATTATGAAAATTATGTCTTAGTCAGTTTTTAAAAAATAACAAATAGATAAAAAAAATTCATCCCACAAACTTGAAAATCCATAAATCCATAAATTAATATCTAATTAAACAATAAAGCTATAAGATTAAATAATCATAAAAACAAATCATTTGTCGCAAATCATTAGGCTAAAAAATGCCCGTATGATAATAATAAATAATAATGATATGATAATGGTAATTGATAGGTTCATTAAATAAAAAAATATTGAATATTTTTTATTTTTATCAATATTAAATTTATTGCCCATTATTAGTTTAAAATTATAATTTATCTAAACGTTTTAGATTATATACTTAACTATATTAATTTTCTTTGGATATTAAATTTAAAATTTATTATAATTATAAAACGAAATTTAGACCTTAAAATATATATATAAATGACTAATCCGCTCCCCCACCTAATAAGTTTGTCAAAATTATTTTATTAAATAATAAATTATAAATTCGAACATGATAATAATTTTTTCTATTTAAAATTTCTAATTTATAAAAATAATAAACATTTGATTATAATTTAAAATTTTAAGAATGTCATCTTTAATACAATATACTATTAACTTATTTAGTAAACATATAAATTTAATTTGTTAAATTCTTTTAAAATTTCATTTGTTTTCATATTATTTATTTTTTAGGTTTTTTAATAATTACAACCACAAAAATAATTTTTAGAAAATAAAGAACAAAGCCATAAAAAGATTATTTCGAACCATAAAAATATATTCATAATCTATACTAGAAAATATTTTCCAATTCAATATAAAAGGAGATCTAATTAATGTAAATAATTTTCTTAAAAAACTCTCACACTTTAAATAAGAAAAACGTGCAATTTTTTAAATAGGGTTCAGCAATTTTGTACAGAATATGTAAACTAAATTATAATAAAATAAAATAAAAGGGGAAATGGACGTGGCGCGTGGGTACGACGGGAGAAAAGGGCCGAAGCCAAACCATTACGTTCCCGTAGGTTGAAGTGGTCAGACGATACGATTGGTGACTCACTGTCGAAACGTGTCGTGATCTGAGACGAACACGTTGAGCCATTGGGTGTCTGTGACGGTGACCTATGAGATAAGTAAAGCGCACGAATAATGCCGGACCTCGTTTGGTTTCCTTTTCTATAAACTGCCAAGTGCTAAGAGCCAAACAAGACACTAATTTTTGTCGCGTAATTAAATAAAGTAAAAATTTATTTCCTTTTTCCCTTTGGATGTTTGGCTCAATTTTGGATCACGTGGAGTTTTCCCATTTAATCACGTGGGAACGAAATTTGAGCCAAATTTTCGAGGGATGTATGAATACTAATTAAAATCGCGACTAAATTATCAAAAATATATTTTATTTATTTTTTTAAATAGTAATTTTTTTTTTAATTTTAAAATTTTTCTGATTTTAATAATCCGTTAAAATGTTTGATAAAAAGCAACCTAATGGTTGGGCAGATTTTGGTCAAATTGTAGGTATATAATTTATTGTCAATAGTAATAAGATGCGTGAGTGTGAGCATAAATTTGAAGGTATAAATTTATTTATTTTTTATTTTTTTGTGTGTGAGATTTAGATAATTATTTTTGTATCAAACAACTGATGAGGTTCACTTGGACCAGAGAAAAAGGGCGATAGTCGGGGAAGCTGAGTTGTATGAGCCCTCGTGTATGCATTCACTGATCTAGTGAAGTTATTTCTATTGGGTTGTGCGTGGAGACTAGGTGCAAATCAATCCGAGTGACTTATTCTTCAAATGCAGGGCTAACTCAATGTGGTTTTAAAGCCGTGGATAGGCCAGCGGATCCTATAAATTCTTATCTAATTGGCAATAGGGATTCATTGTAAAACCTTACTGGCAACAAGATTCGTAGTAAAACTTTACTTTTATGTAATTGTTTACGGTACGTCAAAAATGAGTACTGAGTTTACACGACTCTCCACAATAGGCATAAGCTCTCATGACTTTACTCTGGGCTTCCTCGACAGACCTCGTACCAATGAAAATAGTATTTATTGATTATAAACCCATGATCATTATTTAGATTAACCGACGTGGGAGAGCTTATGTGTTTTTATGGGTGAATTTAATCATTTTTTTTGTTTGAATTTACACAAATATAATTTTGAAATAAATTAAATAATATTGTCTTATTAAATAAATAAATATAGATTTTATTTTGAAAACTATGATGGGAAACGTTTATATTAAAACTATGTATTTTTTCAAATTGAAATTTGAAGGAGAGGAATGAAATTAAAATAATAATGATTTTATTTTTTAAAATCCTACAATTTTAATTTTAATTTAGGTATTAATTTTTTTTTTTCAAGTAGGTAAAAATAATATTTTACGAAAAATTAATTATGATTAATTAGAAATAATAAAACAACATTCGATTTTAAAGCAAATACGCCCTTAGTATAAATATATGCAAATTTAAAAGCTAAAACATATCTTCTCTTTTTTCCTTTGAGAATTATTTTTGCTTCGTTAACGAGACGATGGACCGTGAAGCCGAAGAGTAGCTCTCCATCTTTATTTGAGTTGGATTTGGCGCGCCCAGTCTCCGCTCTCCGAAATCGGCAGCCAGAATGAGAGATTCTCCAGGTAATTTTCGACGGCATCCTCTTCTTCGATCTCTTTTCTTGTTTGATCTCAGTATCTTCTTTCTTGCTTTAAGAATTTGTGACGTTCATTAGCTACTCGTTATTGGTGGAAGCAAACGAGCAGCCATTGATTCTCGTCGTTGTCTGTCTCCTAGCAGGAATTTCACTACAGCAATTCATATTTGCTAACTTTTCGCTCTCATTCCTGTATTGATTTATCCATTTGGTGTTGTCGATGTCGTAACGAGATAGTATCGGTGGGGAGATTATTCTTCACTTCAATTTGTATCGCACCGCCAATTATCTAAAAGTTTAACGCGTTGTTGTTGTTGTTTTTTTTTTTTTTTTTTGTGAATTTTCCTTGGCATGAATAGGATGTATTTTTAATGTTTTTCTGGAACAATTTTGATGAACTTGAATTTCGTCGTGGTTGCTTAGAGAATGTAGACGACGAAATTAGCCGTGGAGTAGTGTAGTCAGTGTAGCACTGTTTAAGAAAGCGGTGTAGAAGTACTTTGTTATCTTTTGATAGGAATAGTACGACGTGAAGGAACTTCTACTTTACGGTAATATTGAAACGTAAAATTTCTTCCACGAACTCGGAATTCCTTGTTGAAGATTCTTTTACTGATCCGTATATTTCAGTTTGGAGCTCATTAGTTTCTCAGTTATTTTGGATTAGTCAACTGAGATTCAGACTCCTTCCTGCTGCATATCGTCAATTTTGGCTTGATTCTCGTCCATAGCTAAATTATTAATAATGCTCGTTAAAAGTTCGAGACATCTTGCTGCAGTTTCGTTGCTTCTGTTACTTAAAATGAGATTCAGAAGCCCATGCACTCTGTTGCTTAACCCGATCTAATCATGTCAGAACTTGTAGCTGATTTTGTATTTCGAATTAACTACTCGCCTGCAAGTAAATTCAATAATTTTTCAGCTTCGAGACTAGAAGCTTTGTAGACTTTTTGATTGCCTACGGCATTCATCTCTTTAAAGCTCCTACATTTTATCTAACTTTTGTATTATTTCGATTTAAATTCATCCTACTTTTGGTTCTGTCTTTAATGAAGAATTGATTTATTCTACAGATGTTTTGGTACACAAGATGAATGACGCTAATAATAAGGCCATCAAGGTTTCTACAACATTTAATGTCGGAGAGAATAAGGAGTTTGATTTTATACGTACCTTGTACGGTAGGTATTATTTTTTGAGAATTTTAGCTGATATTTTGTAAATGATATAATATTCTTTAACTAGTTCAGCTAAACTTAGGTTGATAGTATGAAGGCATTATTCATTTCAAACCCCTTGAAACACTATCTATGTGATGCAAATGACCTATTTAATCATCATGATTTTAGGCCCTTCGGTCTTCAAGGCTTCTAAAAGTTTGTTTCATCTACCACATTATCTCATACAACCACTAACAGCTTAAGTAACATTATATTGATCCCTTCTAATATCTTCGTTTGCAAATGTTTTTTGTTGCCAAAGATCTTGTTTGTCATGCTTGAAGTTTTCAAAGAGTGTTCCAATTTTATAGGATCTATGTTTGCCTTTGTTATGGGCTTTTGCAGAAGGTGCTATAGCTGGAGGTGCTGCTGGTCTCGTTGTAGAAGCTGCTCTATATCCAATTGATACCATAAAAACTCGTCTACAGGTAGCCTTATATGCGGGGGTTACTTCCAGTTGGACTGTGAATATCTTTTAGGCTCCTCTAGAACTTCCGAGCCTCAAATTTTTGGTCCCTACTGTTGTTCTAATTATTTCGTTCACTTAAAATTTTATGCCGTACTCTTATTTCGTCTATTCAAGCGCTCTGTTTCTTGGAGACTTATTTTTATTTTTATCTCAACCGAAACTATTTGTCCTGGAATGATTCACCATACACTCTCTACAATGGTATTTCTGAAGCATTTTATTCCCTTGCTCAAGTCATCATCCATGCCTGTCTGCTTATTTGATTATCTTATGCTCATTGAACCAACAATAGGGTTCTTCCTGCTTTGTTTAGTCATATGTTGGCTTTTGAACGTGTAGCAGCTGCAGATTTCTGAATTATACTAAAATGATTTTGATAGGCCGTTCGTGGAGGAGGGAAAATTGTACTCAAGGGACTTTATTCTGGATTGGCTGCAAATCTTGTTGGGATGTTACCGTGAGTGTACCTAACTCCCGATATTTTTCATCTTCTCGTCCGCTAGAATATTGGATAATGCAACTTTAGGGCTCAATTTTGGAATGGACATATGTATTTCTCAAATGTGATTTTGAATACAAAAGTTTGCGATATGAGAAACTGAAAAATTCATTAGTTTATATGAAAGACGAGTATGTTTCGTGTTTCAATGTCTTCTTTTTAACCTGATTTTCTTGTTATTTTTCCACAAACACCTTTAAATAATCTTTAATTTATTATTCTTATGTTGATATTATGGCCTGTAATGGCTATGCTTTTCAGCCATTTGATTGCCATTTTTTTTTAAAACATCTCTTGTTGCTTTCGGAATTTCTTACTATGGAACATTTTTTTGCTTAGTGTCCTATCTGTACTGAGTCGCTTACGGTTATAGTTCACCATTAGTTTATTCCAAGAGTTGTGTTAAAATTGTGAGAGTTGGTTCATAAATGCAGCAGTTATTCGTATTTCTCATCATATGACGTCTATGCTAAATGTTTGATAATTTCACTATTATCAGTGCCACTGCCATGTTTGTTGGTGTATATGAACCTACCAAACAGAAATTGCTGATATCTCTCCCTGAAAACCTCAATGCTTTAGCTCATTTGGTAAGATTCATCAACCAACCATGTTTCATCTCACATATCCATCGAGTTTGGCAGGTGTTCCCCTTTGGGTATTTTACTACTGCAAAAAAAAAAAAAAAAAAAAAAACCTCA